ACGTCTCGGAATATGGTTCTGTCCAAAAGGCAGCGGTGCATGATGGGTAAGCAATCAGCAAGCTCTCTTAGGACTTTTCCTTTACGTAGTAAGGCTCTCTTTGATGTGTGCTGCAGTAAACACAGTCGGTTCTCTCCCGACCACTGTCTCCTGAGGGATAAGGCTCAGCACAAGAACACTAATGAGCACATTAGAAGGAAGCCATAGAAGGAAAATGCTACAGTTGTAAATGGAATTGTCTCTTGTGTTGTCTATGGCGGGGATGCTCTGTCTCGGGCATGTGTTTATGCATTCCACTGCATCCACACTGTACACATGTGTACACGAAGAGTATGGGAGCAACCGTGGTCTCATAAAAGTGTTTTTTTTCTACAACAGTTCTTTTCCAACTTCACGGAAGCATGAAGTAAGATTTTTAAAAAACTGACTTGATTTGAGGCGGCAAAAATTGTAATATAACCACTGCTTTCAGTCGCACTGTAATTAACATTTGAAGGTAATCAAGCATTGGAGCTAAAAAGTGAAAGTGGGACCGCGAAGCTGAGGTGACATGTGCCGCTGACAATAACAGTAGTAAGCCATTACAAATGGAGCATTCACTATTTATTCCATTTAAGATAATCACAGGGCATAAAGTAGCGATGCATGACAATCGTATCTATCTGAAAAACAGCCCATTTCTCAGGGGTAACCCGAATTTTCAAGGCGTCCGTGTTGGGTAGAATTGATGCTTATTTTATTGGGCTGTCATTAGATTTTTTTTCATTTGCTACATGCTGCAAATCATCAAGCAAAAGCTCAGCGGTTAAACGTTAGAAAGCCGTACACCCATGTTGTACTGAACAGAGTAATATCTGACTGCAGACGTTGCTCCAGTTTTGGTGCAGTTTGATTGGCTGTTTGCATTTATAAAGAGGAACATAAAGTGCTAAGTCTGTGTCCTTTTCCATAATAATTACAACCTCCATTAATGTTACAATGGATTCAGCTAAATGTAAAAGTACATTCAGTTTTATTTTTGATTCACTAGTTTTCGTTTTTAACTCCCTGGGGGTTTGATTTTTCTTCTCCTGTGGCGTTACTGTAACCTTTATGTTCCAATAATAGATCCTCGTTTGGTAATGTTCCCTCAGTCAGAAAAAAAAGAGGTGCATTTCAGACACGAGGAAAAAAAAAAAAATTGTATATTTAGTTTTAAGGTGTTGGACTTACTGAAGATATTGATTGAAAGCGATACAATAGCGGGGAGGAGAAGTACTAGCCTCTGTATTCCTCTCAGATAACTCTGATCTCTCAAGCATCATCTGAATCTGTGATCCCCAGCCAGTAGATTCCTTGAAAGTTACCAAGGGAATCGGCAATCTGGATTGCCTTTGTGCAGTAGGGAGTGTGAGAGACGTGAAAATGATTTCAAAGAGTCCAGGATGAATCACGCTCCCGCTGCAGCTGCCATTTATTAGCACATTTTCCAGGCATAGTTTTCACAGCTACCTACCAGACTGACTTTTTCATAGTTTGCTTGAGGCTTTGCGTTGCGAGGATTTTATTTTGTAAAAAGGCTTCATTAAAAGTGTTGATAAATGAACCTAATAGCGACTAGTATGTTTGTCATAATTAGTCATGACATTACTTCTTAATAAAAGCGAAGAGCAGGGGACACATCATTTATCAGCCGTTACCTCTATAATGAAGATGAAGATTAATTAAAAAAAAAAAAAAAAAAAAAAAAAGAACTTGTGATATGCTTTCACGACTGGTTTGAGATTAAAAAATTGCTCCAACTGCTTGGATCAGTCGCTGAGTTTGCACTGATTTATTCAGGGTTTGGTCCCTCCACAGTAAAGAAATGACAACACAGACTACATCAAAAAATCCAACCACCATTATCACTTCAAGAAATCTAGTCTAATTGCTGTGTTAACTTTGCTGTTATTTCCGACAGGACAACATTTAAAGAATGCAGCATTTCGACGCGGTTTCCAGTTTGACAGGTGCTCATTCAAAAGTGCCTGAGTTGTGCTTGCTGTGCTGCAGATTTTTTACCATTTCTTGGCTGTCACAGTGATGAAATGGAAACCCATAAGAAATTGACAGCCCATATTGCTCAAGGACAAACATATCTGAAGATGACTTGTTCCTTGACGTGGCCAACGGGGCTAAAAGAGTGGAGGTAATCCTTTAAGACTTAAGCGGGGGGTTTTTTAGGGGTTTTTTTTTTGCAGATTTTTGAGCGGTAATCAGTACAGGCTGTTTGTTTGAAGACCTTGCACACAGTGAAGAACCTTTATTTTGTAGAATGACAGGTGAGAGACTTGAGGAAATGGCATGCTGAAATGTGTAAATTTACTTTCACGCCTCGTACTGTTCAAATGAATCACTGGATATCGGTTTAGGTGCAGTGTTGAAAACCCACAGTAACTCTCAAAGATGGGCTATTTCAGCAATGTTTTGCGCTTTTAAATTATGCCTTAACATGTTTAATTTAAGTCATGTCAGCCTCTCTCCCTCTGGGTGTGAAACTGGCACATTTTCTGTCTGAACCAATACCAAACCTAAAAAAAAAAAGTGCTGCTGTAATGTGCCTCGGAGTTTTGTGGGAGCTTTCTCCCTTGTGGGGGGAAAAAATAAATAAATATATGGAGACATCATACATCATCATCATTGATTCCCAAAGTGCTGTGTCATTGGTACCACGGTGACCTTGTGCCGTTCACATCCTACTCCTCTGCTCTGTCAACAACATGTGACAAATGAAATGATGCTGTACTTGAGCCACTTTCCATGCAGAACATAATGGAGATGATGACAGATCAGGAGAAGCTGTCTTGCACCGCTTCGCGCAAGATAAGCGGACGAGTTTACGGGAATAAAGTTTGTGAAATGTTTTAGCACAGATAAGATTACTAGGTACTAAACGGGTGCTTGGTATCTGTGTGACCTTGGCTTTTCTAATGTAAATATATCAAGGGTTAGGCTTACAGCACAAAATCAATTTCCTCTTTTTTCTCTGGAAAACTGGGCCTCGTGCGCTTAAACCAGAATCACTGACCTGACACGTCGGACGTTGTCTTAGAAGATCAATTGTGTCATTTTTCACGTGTAGCCGCCGCCGCTATCTGCATAAAAGATGCACAGGACTTTAAAGGCCGTGACAATTATTGCGAGGGATGTGCGGACCACAAGGGGACGTTGTGTTCTATTTTCTATTAATAAAGTTGCATCTTGGAATAGATAACCTTTTGAACATCCCACTCTGGGAATTTGTGGAATTAATAATACAACATATAATCCGGTGTCTTTAAAGCCTAGAGAGTGAAGGAGTCAGCTTGGGTTTGAGGCCTACTTTCGTTCGCGCCGCACGCTCGCGGCTTATAAATAAGAGCTGAGCCCCAAATTATTCTAAGTAGCAATCAAGTATGTGCAACAGATACAGCACAGACATGCATTACCTTTTATTTTTTTGTCTGAATGGGTGCATTTCAACATGAGAAAGAGGCGCCATTGTGTCATTTGAGCCACCACAGTAACTGGTTTAAACAATATCTTCCAAAGTTTTTGTTCTGACAGAGTAGATTCCCGGTGCGCCCCGGGAGCAACACATATCTCTTTTTGTGTTCTCTCTGATCTCTCATCATCTCTTGGGTCTTACATCAAGAGCCCCAGATTTATCGATCAATAGCCATAAACAAAACATAGATTGAACTGGACACTGGGGCACAACAAACGGATTATCGAGTTTTTTGTTCCTCCTCATACGATTGGTCACCAGAGCCTCGGCTGTATAAAAAAAAAAAAAGGACCACTGGCCAGCGAAGAGTGTGCCAACCAAAGCAGATCAGGCATAAAAAAAATAAAAAAGAGGATTCACAAAAAAAAAAAAAAAAAGCAATGACAATTACCAGAATGTGATGTGTGTGAGTGAATGTGTGTTAAAAAAAAATGTGTCTGTGTGCACAATATAAATGGATGACAGCAGAATCTTATGTGTAATCCAATTGTATCGGCAAAGTATCGGGCATAATACAAGTCAATCCAATCGTCAGCGCTTGACTGTATGACGGAGTGAGAGAGGAGCTCCTGAGTGATCTTTTTTCTGTCACCCAGTACATGTATGTGTATTTAGCATGTGTGCGCCCGTGCATGGATGACTTTGACGGAAGATCTGCGCGTATTAGCGAGCGGTCGCGGCTGCTGGTGCACGATATTTATGTGTGTCTGTGATAACATGTCTGACAGCTGTGCATATTTCACAGGGTGGAGAACCCTGCATTGCAGTGCTTGTACATGGCAGCCGCACTCTTTATGTGAGAGCAGCTCAGGGTCAGACCAGAAGAAGAGAATTAAAGCTACATCACCGGGCCCATCGCTCTCTGTTCTGTCTCCTTGTAGTGTGCTGCTAACATGCCATTGTCTCACTTCTTTATCTCTATAATTCATTTGTGTGTCTTTTATCTGTTTACCAAAGCAGCATCCCAGGGTTTTCACCGAGGAATTGCGATTAAACAACAGCAAGCACAGAAATGGAGAGCATATGCCTTATACAAAATAGTATTTAAACGAACACACACCCAGGTACTGATTACTGTAATACTGAGCATGCTGTTGCAGTCAGTAGCATGTGGAACACCATTACTTGGCTTTATTTGTTTTGAACCGGGCAAAGTCAGAAACCCTCAAGCCGAAAACACTAATTTTAATCATTCCTTAATGAAGGAAGCTGTTCCCACGGTGAAGCTGCCTTCAGCCCTCTGAGTTCAGAAATCAGCAAGGAATGAAGTCTTCCAATTTAAAGAGAGTGGTCATTTCAGTTCAAGAAAAAAAGAGAAAGAAAAACCTACAGCACACCATGTTCAGCTGCACATCAAAGGAATTAAACTGGGAAGGTTCCTGTTCCAATTAGTTATGAATTGACATGCAAAAGCACCAGAAGAAGTTACCGTCTTTCTCCTGTTTTGTCCTGAAGCTAACTAAATTGGTCTCTTTTTGTCTCTTGTCTGCAGCGCTGGCCCCAACACTCCCTAGTCTACGTTCAGAGGTCTTCAAGCCATGTGTGGAGGACAAGGACCTCGCCTTTTGCCTGAATGAGGGAGAATGTTCCATCATTGAAACCGTGGCTGGGGTTCACAGACACTGCAGGTGAGCGCGATGCCGTTTGTGTGTGGATGACTGAGCGAGACATTTTGTTTCTTCCTTAGCGTTGACATTTCCTCGCGCTGCCCTCCCTCCGCCAGTCACTAACCCTGGGTCATTCCCATTCATGCTGCTTTTTTTCCCCGTTCCCTTCAGCCTGACAGACTGTGTTCTTAGAACAGTGAAACACACCAGGCTGGAAAATCGTCGTACAGTTGCACCTAAAATGCGCGGAAGAGCCGTAATCACCCAAACTCCTAAGCGAGGGATCAGAGATGCTTTGGTTGCATTAGACACAGCTGATTCTCTGATCTGCACAACCAAACTGTGCAAAGAAATATTTCCGTGCAAATTAAACTCGGATGGGGAGCAACTGTGATGAAACCTCTGTCTTCACTTTGGTCTGACAAAAGTTTTAATAATGATAGCAGTCTTCTAAAATGGCTTTCTCCTCATGTATTAACCTTGGGATAAATCTTGTCTGATATGACCTCTTCAGTCTGCAGCGCATTTTAATGGAAGGTGTAAAGAAGGAGTCTTGCGAGAGCCGTCTTTGATCTCACTCAAGGTTTTTTCTTTTTTTTCCTTTGGAGGGGGGGTTATTTAATGTCTCTCTTTATTCTTTTTGTTTCACTCCGAGGCAGTCTCTCACACTGTGACTGCCCAAGAGGGGGAAGAAAAATGGAGGTAACCTCAGTAAACAGACCCTCGGTGTACTTTGACACATCATGTAATGTGGCAGGCATAACTAAAATGCTGTCAGTTAACCAAATTGAATTGGTGGAGGAAACCAGTGCAATCCTGTGCTGTTTTCAATGCCTGTGACAGCTTATTTACCCACATTAGAAAGCCTATAATGTCCCTTAGTCATGCCATCTAATTATGTTTCTTCATATTTGTGATAAAAGTCAAGCAACATTTGTTTATGCAGCTTTCAGAGGAGGCGATACGTTATAGGAGGGAGGAAGGAGGAATACACAAAGCCACACACATGAAGAAAGAAGAATTCTTTCAACCAATGTGATTGTATGTGCTTTTATGTACATACACGCTCTAGTAATTAGACGGCGCCGGCTCTTTGGACTTTCAGCTTCTCCCTTCTTTGTATGTCCCTGCGTGTCTGCCGGCCTCTCGCAGCCCACTGCTTATATCCACTTCAGCTCTCAAATCTCTCTGATATATCACTTTAAAAATACATCACTTTAAAAATACATGATAAGAAATTTTCTCCGAGGAAAGAGTTGTGCTGAATGGTGCTGAATTAAAAAAACAGCTCATTAGTGCACCTACCTGGAATTAAAGGGGCTAAATCTTCATCTGAAAAAAAAAAAAAAAACCAAAACTGATGCATTATAAATGACACAAGAGCACAAGTCAAGCCCCTTAGAAAAGCAAACGTTGAGCAAAGAAAATTGAGAATAATAAGGAAATGGTGCGTTTAGATAAAACAGCTACGAAATCTGCTGTTGCTATAAACAGATTATACACACTGACAATGAACTGGGTAATGTACGTATATTGTTTAAAACTATCTGCAAAGCCTTGGGTTTGACAGACACCGACTTTTCTGTGTGACATAAAATGATATTGATTTGAGTATTCACATTACCAACGCTTTCTATTTGATAATGTAGTCGTATATCACTGCACTGAACGCAGACTGGGAATAATGAAACGATAGCATCAAGATGCCGTGTGTGTGTTTCATATCATATTATGGTGGCAGGCACAAAAATGTTGAGTGTGTCACCTGTGCGACAGCATCAAGAAACCCTGAAGACTTGGAGCAACTACACTCTGGGCTATAATTAGCGACAGCTGAATGACTGAATACGGGACTCAGGAAAGACTGGAGGGTCTCACCCAGACACTGTCTGACAGTTTCTCTTGAGCTGAGAGCCCGTTGTGGGAAAGAATGATTACAGGTTTGTGAGTACTTTTACTGAAAGGTTGTTTCTTTTGCTTGAGAGAAGTCTGAGTAGTAAGTCAGCAAAACATGATCATTTAACTCAAAAAATCACTGCGAGGTGGATTTTGTTTAATGACATCGCCGTTCGGGGTGAACTCCAGGGTTGGAGTCAAAACAAAACTTACAACAGCACATTTGGAAGCCATGAAAACCTACAATCTGCATTATTCCTCCCAACCCCACAACCTGCCACCGGGTTGTGAAAGGCGTGTTGCAAGCCATTTATCAGAAGTAGAAACTGTAGAAACAGAGAGAGGCGCCGCATTTTCAGCTTTCTGATGGTCCTTGAAAGACGGTCCTCATCTGGGATGTGGCGGTCAACCGGAAAACAAACATGTGCTTAAAATTGTGACATTTCATAAAAATCTATTCATACTACAGGTATTGTTGTAAAGATTTACCAAAAGTAAACCCACTGCTCTGACCAGAGTCTGTAAAAAAAACCTCAAAATTCAGACTTTTTGGCTGAACTGCAGGCTGTGTACATACAGCAAATAGGAAACTATGATGGAGACCTATTAGGAAATGTTTGTAGTAGAATATCTGTTGTCTGTAGAGTCACCATTTCTATTCCCGTATCGGTAACACCTGGAAAAATATCCTACATGTTGGTCCCATTTTTTTTGTTTGTTTTTTGAATTTTGGTTAAATAGGTAAGCAAAGAAATTGACATTTTTTCTTTCTTTCTTTCTTTCGTTCTTTCTTTCTTTCTTTCTTTCTTTCTTTCTTTCTTTCTTTCTTTCTTTCTTTCTTTCTTTCTTTTTTCTGATTGATGACATTATAACTTTCATGCAGCACAGAACACATTTCTGAGTTCTGGTCGTGGTCGTGCTGTTTCTGTAGACGTGCAGGACTTTGAAAAATGAGCCCACAGTGAGTAAAAGTGTGACGGCTCAAACATTTCTGCTACATTCTGGTAAAGAGAAATCCTTGAGTCGAGTTCGGAGCACTTTGGAACTAAACTATTAAATCAAGTCCTATTAAAATAGTAAACAGATATTTAATTATACATTTCTGACAGCCTGCCAAACGTAATTCTGTATTTGTTTGATGTACCGGTTCCTGAGAAAATCGTGTGGTTTAGTTTGGCCTTCTACATCAACTTTTCTTTTTTTCCCATTTGTTTACTTCAAATCTCCACCATTTCATGCTGAGTACGCAGTACATGGTCGGCTTGTGTCAGCTCATTTGCTGGAAATGGCTGCCCGCAGTTTTATTTTTTGGCTATTCAACCATATGGACTGACAAACCAAAAACAATGACTTGAAAGCTACAAATAGCTGTACATTTGCTGCGGCGCCATTATGCTATCCATGCTACGCTGAACACGGTATTATGCTCTGCTCCTCTTCCTGCCAGAGACACAGAGCATGAAGATAAACCCACATATTGTCCATCTACATTTCTGAAAACAAGAAAAATAGGAATATGTAATGTTAGACAGATGCTGGGCTTTTAGGGTGCAGGACATCCAGCTGTTGATCAATCAGCGAGGCCGGATCATCGTCCTGATCTGAGAGACACATTCAGTCGTGTTCTGAAGCACAGAAAAAGAAAAGGTTTAATCATTGCCGCCTCGTTTGACGTCATCGTCTCCTCAGGGCCCCTGAGCTTAATAGATGATTGGATATTCTCCAACAAGAGACAAGCAAAGATGTCAGAATAATCTTTAAACACTTGAATCATTGCATGAGAACACAGTTTTGAACTTGGGAATCAATTTATTTTGTTATGAAACATTTCCTTTGCTCTCCTCCGCCTATCCCCCCCCCCACCGTCCAACCCCCGCCCCCCCACCCCTCTGCCGGATGTTCATGTTTGCCAATGCTAATAAGGCTCCCAAAATAAACATGCAAATGTGAGTTTAAGACCTACTTCCACATCAGCGCCGGGGCTTTTGTACAATAAATGTACAAGAATCCAAAGGTCTGGTCGTATGTGGGGCTCGACACGTGACGGCTCATACAGGATCGTAGATGACAAGCAATTATTGTTGATTAAGGAATTTTAAACCATCACTTAAGTCAACTATCAGATTCACTGCTAAAAGGTTATCTGCCTTTGATTAGTAACAAATGGGAGGATGTACGGATCAAACCGAACCAGAGCTGGCATTTAGATGAGAGGTGATCAGAGTTTGCCAAATGCCAAATATACCACATTAAGGACTTTTTTTTGGGACGGTATAACATTCATAAAAAAGCAACTTTAAATTCCCATATGATTTGTTCAACTTCAACAACTTTAAGTTATACGACATTTACTGAAAGCAAAGTTTCCATGAGTGGTGCAGTACGTGTCAGGTTCCTTAAGAAAAACACTTCTGCCCAGCAACGTCTGTTCGCATCACATAAGTCTAAAAATAAAGAGTATGTGTCATGTGAAACACAAACACATGTTAAGCATGACTTGCCACATGCAGTGCAAACTATTATGAATCACCAATCTCAGTATTGCACTTTGTGGATTCAGATTCGCACCGTATCTGCCTTTGGGAGGAGGAGAAACATGATTTTGATGTGCACGTCTGATAGCAAGATGATGACACACTTTCATTTTTGCCCTGAGATGTCAGGCTCGCTAAGTGCACAAAAGTAGAAAGCACATATGCTATGAAGATGTAAAGGTGGGGGAATACATTATCAAGAGGTGTCGTGGAGCTGGCCGTCATACCCAATCATGTCACCTGGTTCCCTCCTTCTTCCATTCAGCGCCGCGGCGCTCAGACAGGTGAGAGGAGAATAAAACCACCGCTGAAGCACTGTGTTCGAGGTAGACAACCGCCATGGGCGAATATACCTTAAATTTAATTAACACTGGAAGAGATGATGTTTCTGCGATCTTACAAGAAATGTTGCAGTATAAGAATTCAATTTTAGTACGCGGGGAGACAAATAGGACCTACGGCAGACTGCGGGGACACTTGAGCTATGCGGTGCAGCGTGGACCTGCCACTGTTTGACAGATATAGTTATCACCATATCCGTCACCTGATGAATAATGGCGCACACATCTCTCTC